TGTTGACCAGGATGGTCTCGATCTCTTGACCTCGTGATCCACCCGCCTCGGCCTCCCAAAGTGCTGGGATTACAGGCGTGAGCCACTGCGCCCGGCCTCAAAATAAGTTTTTTAATTAAATAAATTTTTTTAAAAAAGAAAGAAATTAGGCTGAATAGTCTACAGCCATACCACCCTGAACACACCCGATCTCATCTGAAATTAGATTATGTTGAATATTTACACGGAGAAACAGTGATATCAAGTACTATCAGAACCGAACTCTTGTTTGTAACAAAGGCAACACTGCCATCTACTGAAATGATGTATCACTTTTCAGCTTTTCCCTTAGGTGGGACAGGAAAGCCTCAAGTTTAATGCACTTACAAGCCTATTTTAAAAGCATACAGTGCAAAGGACAAAACTTGTATAATTTCATTTAAATGAGATAGCTTGAATAAATTCCTAGAGACAGCAAGTAGAATAGTGGCTATCCGGGATGGGGAAGAGGGAGGCAACAAGTTAGCATTAGGCACAGTGTTTCAGTTTCAGATGAAAAGGTTCTAGAGACAGACAGCAGAGATGGTTGTACAACAATGTGAATGTACTTAATACAATTGAAATGTACATTCAAAAATGGTTAAAAGGGTAAAGTTTATGTTATATACATTTTACCACAATTAAAGCAAAAAAGGAAGGAAAGAAGGATATACCATGGCTGCCTTTGTTCTGAAAATTACTAACTAGGAAAAGTGTCATATATATTTACATTAAATAATTTTTTTTTTCTGGTCTCAGTGCATTGCCCAGGCTAGTTACACTAATTTTTTTGTTTTTTGTTTTTTGTTTTAGGCAAAGTTTCACTTTTGTTGCCCAGGCTGGAGTGCAATGGCACAATCTCAGCTCACTGCAACCTCCACCTCCAGAGTTCAAGTGATTCACCAGCCTTGCCTCCTGAGTAGCTGGGATTACAAGCATGCACCACCACGCCCAGCTAATTTTGTTTTGTTGTTGTTGTTGTTGTTGTTTGTTGTTGTTGTTGTTTTGAGACAGTCTCGCTGTTACCAGGGTAGAGTGCAGTGGCATGATCTTAGCTCACCGCAACCTCCACTGCCCCCTTCCGCCGCCCCCCAGGTTCAAGCGATTCTCCTACCTCAGCCTCCTTCCGAGTAGCTGGGACTACAGGTGTGTGCCATCATGGGCAGCTAATTTTTGTGTTTTTAGTAGCGACGGGGTTTCACCACGTTGGCCAGGATGGTCTTGATCTCCTGACCTTGTGATCTGCCTGCCTTAGCCTCCGTTAAGTGCTGGGATTACAGGCATGAGCTGTCACGCCCAGCCTTTTATTTTTCTTTCTTTTTTTCAGACAGAGTCTTTTTTTTTGAGACTGAGTCTTGCTCTGTCACCCAGGCAAGATTGTGCAATGGCACAATCTTGGCTCACTTCAAGCTCTGTCTCCTCAGTTCAAGCCATTCTCCTGCCTCATTCTCCACAGTAGCTGGGATTACAGGCTTCCACCACCATGCCCGGCTAATTATTGTGATTTTAGTAGAGATGTGGTTTCACCATGTTAGCCAGGCTGGTCTCGAACTCCTGACCTCAGGTGATCCATCCACCTCAGCCTCCCAAAGTGCTGGGATTACAGGTGTAAACCATTTCGACCGACCCTAATTTTGTATTTTTATTTATTTATTTATTTTAGAGACGGAGTTTCTCCATGTTGATCAGGTTGATCTCGAACTCCTGACCTCAGGTGATCTGCCCACCTCAGCCTCCCAAAGTGCTGGGATTACAGGCGTGAGCCACTGCACCCAGCCTCCTATTTTTGTATTTTTAGTAGAGACGGGGTTTCACCATGTTGGCCAGGGTGGTCTTGAACTTCTGAACTCAGGTGATCCACCCACCTCAGCTTCCCAAAGTGTTGGGACGACAGGCGTGAGCCACCACGGCCAGCTAATTTTTTTTTTTTTTTTTTTTTTTTTTGAGATGGAGTTTCGCACTTGTTACCCAGGCTGGAGTGCAATGGCGTGATCTCGGCTCACCGCAACCTCCGCCTCCTGGGTTCAGGCAATTCTCCTGCCTCAGCCTCCTGAGTAGCTGGGATTACAGGCACGTGCCACCATGCCCAGCTAATTTTTTGTATTTTTAGTACAGACGGGGTTTCACCATGTTGACCAGGATGGTCTCGATCTCTTGACCTCGTGATCCATCCGCCTCGGCCTCCCAAAGTGCTGGGATTACAAGCTTGAGCCACCGCGCCCGGCCAAATTTTTAATTTATAATTAACACTAGCCACTTAATTATCACTAAATATTTTTTTAATATGGACTTTTTAAAAACTTAAATGGATGCCTTTATTTGTACACTTCATTTAATTGTTTTTTCTAAAGTTAATGGGTAATATAATTACAGGATTCAAGAATTCAAAGCAATATATAAAGGTATATACTGAAAACTCTTATTCCTATCCATGTCCTCATCTACCCAGTTCTTCTTTGCCCTCAATAGGCGACCCTTTTTAAATGTTTATTTATTCTCCCAGAATTTCATTTTGCAAATATTGGCAAACAGGAATATATTACTTTGTCTCTATCACAAAAGGTTGGTACACACGATTTTGCTTTTTTGCTGTTTTGCTCTTTTTGCTACACACTGCTTTTTTCCATAACAGTACAGACAGGTTTCTCATTCTTCTTTTCACAATTAGTTGCATATTATGCAATTTGATGGAGTTTCCAGGGTTTATTTAGTCCTGTCTCCCAATCTCCCAGTCTGGGTTATTTTCAATCTTTTGCTGATAAGTAAACAATGCTGCAAAAAATAACCTGCATATATATTACTTCATATTAATACAAGAACTTACTGACAGGACTAAACAGGGCTCTGTGCATGACAGGTAGTAAGAGCACAAGGAATTCTACAGGACAGATTTTCAGGAGCAGAATGCTGATCAAATGGTAAGTCCATCTGTTATATTGGTAGACAACTGCCAGATTCCCTTCGATAGGGATTGTGCCATTTACTTTTATATTTTTGCCAAATGGAATCTCAGTGTAGTTTTTTTTTTTCCCACCTAGAAACTGAGAATCTTTCCATATATTTAAAAATTGTTTTTCTTTTTCTGTGACCATCCATCTCTTCTGCCCATTTTTCTACTGATTTATTTTTATCTTTTTCTAGGAGCTCTTTATATATTAGGTGGACTAGCCTTTTGTCTGATATGAGTTGCAAATCTTTTTCCCGTTTGTTATGATTTCACTTTGCTTACAGTATTTACTTTGTTGTGCAGAAATTTTTTGTTTATATAATCTTACCAATCTTTTCTTTCATGGCTTCTAGATCTCAGGTCCATTTGGAGTTTTTCCTTGTGTATAATGCTTGATCCAACTTTTTCAGTGGCTACCAGTTTTCCTAACATCTACTAAAAGTTCTTTACCTGAGTCTTTAATTACATTAAATATTTCCTAACACTTTCTTGTCCCCTCAGCTTCCCTCAGCCTCCACCTGTCCTTCGAAGCTCAACTGAAATCCCATATCTTTTCTGAATACTGATATTTTCTATTTATTTCATTTATTAATTTTTTTTGAGACGGAGTCTCCCTCCATTGCCCAGGCTGGGATGCAATGGTGCCATCTCAGCTCACTGCAACCTCCACTTCCTGGGTTCAAGAGATTCTCCTGCCTCAGCTTCCAGAGTAGCTGGGACTATAGGCATGTGCCACCACGCCCAGATAATTTTTGTATTTTTAGCAGAGACGGCGTTTCACCATATTGGCCAGTCTAGTCTTGAACTCCTGATCTTATGATCCATCCACCTCAGCCACCCAAAGTGCTGGGATTATAGGCGTGAGCAACTGTGCCTGGCCGTTTTCTCTTTATTTTTAAAAATACTGACTAAAGGCTGGGCAAGGTAGCTCATGCCTGTAATCCTAGCACTTTGGGAGGCCGAGGTGGGCGGATCATGAGGTCAGGAGTTCAATACCAGCCTGACCAAGATGGTGAAACCCTGTCTACTAAAAATACAAAAATTAGCCGGGTATGGTGGCACAAGCCCGTAATTCTAGCTATTCAGGAGGCTGAGGCAGGAGAATCGATAAAACCCGGGAGGCGGAGGTTGCAGTAAGCCGAGATCAGGCCACTGTACTCCAGCCTGGGTGACAGAATGAGACTCTGTCTCAAAAAAAAAAACAAAACTAAATAAGCAATATGACACTGTATAAATGTGAAAAAATAAAAAATTGGAAATTCAAATTATACTATAAAAGAGGAAGATTTAAAATATTCAATTTGATAATCCTTAACAATGCGATTTATATTCATTTTCAAATCCCTAGAATGACAATGTTTACTAATTGCAGAACAAATATAAGGCTTAAAACATTAAATGTTTGTAGTAACTGAAAAAATACTAGTAGTCTAAAAGTCCATCAATAGAGGATCAAGTAAATAAACTGTAGTTCTAATACACAGGGAAATATTACACAGAAGTTAGGAAGAGTGAGATCAATTCAGCTGTAATGATTTGGAATCCTATCTGAGGGACTCTGTAAAGGGGGTCAAGGGAAAGGGACTGCTCTGTTTTATGGGGCAAAAACGTTTATAAATGCATAGAAAACTCCTGGAAGAAGAGAGTGTCAAGTGGTTGCCTCTCTCTGGAGCCTGGGACTTGAAATGAGAGAGGACAGGTGAGGGAGAAGTCAATTTTATTTCTCATTTTATATCCTTTTAAAAACTATCACATAAAACTTTTATACTTAGAAGAAGAAACTTAAATGTAATGCTGAACACTAACGGTTTAAATGGGTAGGTACATTTACATAAGCATTTTTTTTTAAAGGGCAGAGAGGAAAAAAGCATGAATCATCATGCCCAGAAGTTACCTGAACAATGGTGAATCCAGATCTGAGAATAATATCTCGTATCTCCTCCTCTTTGTCAACGATATCTGGTTTGATAATGGCCAGAGTTTTTTCTACATATATCTGAGGTGGAGGCATTGATATCTCCATTATGGCTTTTCAGGGCACAAATTGAGAGTTTCTTAACAGGTGTCAACTGCAATGACATGATTTCCCCCCAGTCCCAAATTCAATGTAATTGTGATTAAGAATAGCAATATTAGGTACTAGATTTTATTAACTAATGAAGGTAAGAAACTACCATGTTTTTCTATATGCAGGGTCTCAATAATAGGATTTCTACTATGTCCAGATCGAGCCCCGGCTCTTCGTACACGCTGTCACCGAGGCGGGAAGGACTACTGGGCTCACGTGACCAGAGGCCAAGGGGCGACCCGAAGGCCCGGAACCAGCGGCACTCCCAGGCAGCAGAGGGTGGGAGGGGGCTCGAAGGGGGCGGCGGGCTGGTGGCAACATCACACGCCAATACAGCGGCGGGTGAGCAGCCTCGTCCGGCTGCCTCTGTGAAGCAACCCTGTCCCGCAGGGACCTCTCTGTGCATAGAGTCAGGCCTAATTGGAAAGCAGGGCCTCTGGGTCCTCGGGGACTTTCCGGGTTGCACCTGAAAATTCTGAATTTGACCCTCTCCGATCACTCACCTCAGCGGCCGCCTTGGTATGCTCAACTTGTTGCTAGGAGACCTGAAGCCCCAGCGTGGGGACGGTGGCTGCAGAGGGCCAATCCCAGCAAGGAGCCTCCTTGCCGCCTCTGGCAAGTTGTTTTAACCAAAGCGAGCCGGGTAGTCATTTTTATTCTGCTTGTGAATCTTAGGGCACTAGATATTTTCTGACATTTTACTCATAAGTTATGTTATTTCATCCTTTTCTTCAATTATCCCTACTTTATAAATGATAAGACCAACCCTCCTCCCCGATTCGTTTCCAGGCAGTGTATGTAAGAAGACCCGTGTCAGATACCTTCATTTCACCGGATGATGCTGTCACCTGTATGCCAAGCTTACCTAGTGATTAAAAAGCAATATTCTGTTTGTGAAAAGACATTTATTTATTAGAGTAAAGGCTTAGTAAAAGATCTAATCTAATTGTCTTTAAATCAAGCCCGTGGAACAAAGATGTACGCAACATTTATGGCATTAAACCCAAATCTCAGCTTCCCCTGTTTTTCCTTATGTTATGTCCACATGCATCATTGAGTGAGTTAGGCATTATTCTTATTGGAAAAGACAACAGAGACATGGCAAAGAAGTACTGGGATCCTCTCTAGGTCAGAGTTCAGGGAGAGGTTCAAACTCTAGAAAAGTCAGGATAGAAGCTCCGGGTTACAAAACAGGTTTTCCATCATCCACGGGGTTGGCTGGTTCTCCTTCCAGACCACTTGAGCTTTTTCTTTTGTCTAACCAAATATTCAGCACCTAGAGGGTTAAGGAACATATAGCAAGCTATTATGAAACTTACATGCTAAAGTATTGCAAGTTTATTTCTTTGGCAAATAGACTCGACTATACTTTTTTTCATTAAAGTATGATGCTGCCCAGAAATGAAACCCACAAATGTATTCTAGCTACTATATCTTATTCCCTAAAGATGGGAAAGTGTGAGCATATATTAATATCAACAGATAAAGCAACCAAAAACTACACAGTGACTCTGGCCTCTTTGGAGTTTAGCCCATTGACTTAAGGCTCTGGAAGCAGGAATTCCCATTACTTGTCTGTCCTCAGCTGTCTTGAGAGCTCTTCACTGCTGCCTGCATTCCTAGACTACTTCACTATCAAAGCTGGACTTACTGAGGCTCAGGGTTTTCCAAACCAGCAGGCACATTATCAATCCTTCAGGGCCTTAATCACCTTTAAAAATAAACTCTGAGAGGCTGGGCGCAGTGGCTCACATCTGTATTCCCAGCACTTTGGGAGGCCGAGGCTACCGGATCACCAGGTTAGGAGTTCAAGACCAGCCTGGCCAACACGGTGAAACTCTGTCTGTACTAAAGAGGCAAAAAATCAGCCGGGCATAGTAATTCCAGCTACTCAGGTAATTCCAGCTACTCAGGAGGCTGTGGCAGGAGAATCGCTTGAACATGGGAGGCGGAGGTTGCAGTGACCCAAGTTCATGCCATTGCGCTCCAGCCTGGGTGACAGGGCGAGACTCTGTCTCAAAAAAATAAATAAATTAAAAAAA